ATAGTTTAACAATAAAATATAGTTTCAATGTATATATCTCTGATTTATATTATAAAAGAAAATTTAAATATATCGCATATCGTTTAAAATTTATAGTTTTTCAAAGAATAAGATTTAACAATTGTTTTGTAAAATAAAAGAAACAAAATTTAATAAAATATTAAAATTACAAAACTAACATTTAAGACTTGGTTTGAAAAATAAGAAGATATGATTTTATATATAAACATTTTATTGGTAGAGCATTTTATAGTTTAACTTATTTAATTATATTTATAATACTTTTCATTGTCAATTAAGTAAAAGCAAATAAACAGTATAAAATAAAAGTAAAAGATTAATAAATAACGCAAAAATAAAAAATAAATTTCTCAAAAAGAAGATTATCATTTAAATGATAAAAATATATGTACAATCGTTGATTAATTATGTATTAATAATTTAAAGTAATTAATTAATTAACTATTAATTATTGATTTCTAATATAAAGAAGTTAATAAAAAATTTAATTCATTTTCAGTTAACAAAAGTAATTGCTTAAGTTTTGTTTTGAATTGGTTTAGAGAATAATTAGTTTTCATTTCATTATTTAATATTATATTCCACAACTTTGGTCCTCGGTTTACAATAGAGAATTTAGTAGCGGAATAATAAGTTTTGGATTGAATGTTGTATTTTGTATTTTGAAAATCTTGTAGGGTATATGTGATTTATTTTTTCAAAAATTAAATTAAATAAGATTGGTAGTATATTTTTATCAAGTTTGAACATGAAAATAAGAACTTGATAGAGGTTTAGTTTATATACATTTAGGATATTGAATTCATTAAAAAGTGTTTGTGTGTGTGAAAAACGATCTACGTTTGAAATTATCCTTATAGCCTGTTTTTGCTTGCTAAGCAATTTTTTTATTTTCGTCGCGTTAGTGCTACACCAAGCAATGTTCGCATAACTTAAGTAGCAATGAATAAAAGAAAAGTAAATGTTTTTTAAACAAGATCGATGTAATAACTGCTTTGCTTTGTACATTATTCCTAAATTTTTTGATATTTTATCTTCAACTACACCTATGTGTTCCCTCCAGGTTACATTTCGTCTAGAAACACGCCTAAAAACTTTATTGATTGCTCTCTCTTTATTAATTGATTGTCAACAAAAAGGTCTAGGAGTTCTAAGGGAATATCTGATTTTTTATGTAGGCGATGGAATAAAGTGTATTTTGTTTTAGTGATATTTAAAGATAACTTGTTTGATTTAAACCATTGGGTTAGTTTGTCTAGTTCTTTGTTTAATGTTTGGAATAATATATTGATATCTTTATTGGAATAAAACAAGCTGGTATCATCTGCAAATAAAATTGTATTTAAAATGTTAGAAAATTTATTTAAATCGTTTATATAAACAAGAAATAGAAGTGGCCCTAAAATTGATCCTTGAGAAACACCACATTTAATTGTCTCATAATTAGTTTTTCCTTCATCATAAACTATATACTGCTTCCTATTGGTCAAATAACTCTCGAACCAGGACAAGTTAGTATTTTTTATACCATATCTTTTGAGTTTCGATAGAAGGATTTGATGATTGACTGTATCGAAAGCTTTACTTAAATCGATAAAAAGACCTAGGGTATACTTGCCTTCATCAAACGATTTAAATATGTCCTGAACAAGGTGAATGATTGCATGATCGGTGGAATGGCCAGATTTGAATCCAAATTGTTTATGGTAAAGAATATTATTTACATTTAAAAAAGAATAAAGCCTATTATAAATAACTCGCTCTAATATTTTAGAAAAACAATTAAGAATTGAGATTGGACGATAATTTGCAACTTCAGAAGGATTGCCTGATTTTAAAATTGGAATGATTTTTGCAATTTTTAGGTTTTCTGGAAAAACACCATGTTTTAAAGATAAATTAAAAATATGTAATAATGGAATTGTGATGTATTTTATCGATTTAATAACGACATTACTACTTATAGAATCGAAACCTACACTTTTTTTGGGCTTTAACAAAGAGACTGCGTCTAATAATTCATTTTCCGTAATGTCAATTGTTTTAATACATTAAAAACATGTCAATTGTTTTAATACATTAAGAATAAAAACTAGGCATAAACAAAGCAGAACTAACAAAACTTGTCCTTGATGTTCTGAAAGTTAAACAATACAAAAATAAAAAGTTGAAACGTGGGAGAATGTTTTCAGCATTATCAGCAAATGCAAAAAATGTCTTCACAAAAAACAAGCATTTTTGTTTCTTATATATTTTTTTTAAGGTAGTAAAAGAGAGTATGTCAAGAAAAAATTGTCTGTAGTTACAGCAGTTGTAGCTTTGTTAGAAATGCTTTGCTTTTTTTGTTTGTTGTTTGTTTGTTTCAAACACAGATTAGATAAATCGTTCTGGATGCGTTTTAAAGCAAATAATCAAAGCTTTACACTCAAGCGACAAGAAAATGTATTAATAAATAGAGCTCTCAATTGCACAAGAGAATCACAATGACCTTGTCTACCTTGGTATGAGTAAATATTGTGTTTAATAAAAATTGATATAGGGAGAATATTTAGTCCGAACGAAGTACCACAGTTCATCAATTTTGGTGTTGATGTTACTTCTGCTGGTATTGCTTTTGCTGCAAAAGAGAAAACATGCTGTAAAATGATAAGAGAGAACCGTGAATGCGTCACCATACATCCTTTAGTATAATTTTCAGGTAGTTATTGCAATATCACTTTTTTTTCATAAATATTTATAATAGAGATTGAAAGGTTGAAATTGTATCATATTTTTTTGTAATTATATGAGAACTTTGTGTCTGTCAACTACTCCTTGATACTGTTGGAATAACTAATCAAATAGCTCCACAGAAAGCTGTGGCAAATATTTAGCATCTTCTGATAACAACATGCAATCATGGTGTATCTGGTCACAATTCGTTATTAGATATGTATTAAGAGTTTAATGAATATCTTTAAAAAGTGGCACGGATAGTAGTTTTGCTTTCTAATGGGCATTGTTCACGCTTTAACTATGACATCCTACAGTTTTTACAATCAAAAAACATAAGCATGTTCTTAACTTTAACAGATACCAATGGTGTAACACAGATTTCAGACCAATTCAACAAAAACCTTCATCATGAGTATCGTGGTATGAAAGAAAACATTTTTACTGATTTCAGCTCAGTAAAGAAAGAAACTTTTATGATAATCTAAGATGTATTTGGAACAATTGGGCCTCCAAAAAATCTATGATCAAAACTGCAAGACATGTGGGAGTAACTTCTACGTCATTAAACGACAATGACATGCAACAGGACAAGTTTGCATGAGCTGCTTTATGTATTAAAAGATGTTTTACCAAATACAACAACCCTTGAAAAATACACTACTGAATTTGCTGATAAAAGAAAAAATTCAGCTCAGTCTTGAAAAAAAAAATTTGAGCTTTCACAAGAGCTGAGCGAAAAGAGTATTGTTAAAAATAAAAGTTAAGCCAAAAATTTCTTAAGTTACTTCGAGGGTTACACAAGTTCACGAATTAATGAAAGGGTAAAATGTATTGGAGTTGGTGAAGGTAATTCAAGTTAATAAAAATCAGGAACTAATAGGTAAAGAAAAATAAAAATAGAACAAATAAACATTTCTACGGTGTAAAAATGTTTCTCTTTGTTCGGTGTTTCAAGTATGAATAAAAACACTTTTAAATTGATTTTTATAAGACAAATAGAGCTAACGTAAAAATTTTTTTTTTACAACTAGTCAATCTTTACATAATAGAAAAATAAATTTTAACAGAAAAAAGCAAAACTCTATTTTAATATTGAGTTTTTAATCTGTATATATATATATATATATATATATATATATATATATATATATATATATATATATATATATATATATATTATATATATATATGTATATATATATATTATATATATATATATGTATATATATATATATATATATATATATATATGTATATATATATATATATTATATATATATATATGTATATATATATATATATTATATATATATATATATATTATATATATATATATTATATATATATATATTATATATATATATTATATATATACATATTATATATATTTAATGGGCCCCAAAAACCACACAGAAATACTACATTGGTTAACTTAAAATATTTTTGCAACCGCCTTTTGAACTTATTTCTAAAAAAATTTTCGCAGAAGTATGACTTAAATGAAAATTTCATGTATTTATGGACTATACTGTAAAAAAAAATATAACATTTTTAAATAAGCTAATTTGGTTTTTTTCAAATAAAAAATTGTTTTACTTCTTTATAAAGCTTTATCTATGAGTAACAAGTACTAATGTGAGCGTGTGACTTTTGGGGTCAATGAGTTTTTGGGGCTTGTCTACCTGTATATACATAAATAAATAAAAAATCCCACTGCGTGAATGATTAAAAATTTTTTTTTCCTGTAAATAACTACCCGTTTTTTAGTTCTAAGCAGAAAAATGTCTGATTAACTTTAAGTTAGAAGATTAAAGATTTTTGTTTTCGCTCAATTTAGCAATAAATTATGCAGAGAGAAAGATGGTTTTTAGTTTTTGCCTTTGACAAGAATTCCAGAATGAGACACTATTTCTACCCTTTAATCAACCAAGAGCCCCAAATTAAGAGGTATTTTAAATTAACTACTCAAAACAAGACAAAATTAGGAAACCGTTGGGGAGATTTTATGAGAAAATGTTTAAGGTTGTTGGTTATAAAAGAAAGCTTAAAGCAAAGACTAAAACTGAAAAATACAAAATATAGTATATATTATATACTATACTTTATTTCACATAAGATTATATTTATTATAAGCTCTATTTGTATTTATATAACATTTATATAAATAAAATCTAAGTGAAAAAAAGTTAACAAAAAATTGAACTTGTTTTTCTTTTTTCATCAGTAATATAAATAACATTCTATTTTTATAAGATTTATGATAATTAAAAAAACAACTTAAATATATATTTAAAACTGTTTTAAAATGTATCCTACGTAAATTCACATATCATCACTCAACAGAGTTATTTTGAAGTTAAAACAGCTTCAAGTACAGTTTTGTATGATAAATCATCGCGATCATTAGCCTGAATTTTAACAGCAAAACCAGGACACCCTTTTTCAACAGCAGTTTTACTTGTGGTCATTATCATTTTTTCCTGAGCCTTTGCATTGTCATCAGCATAAGTAAAAAAAACAACTTTTGTACGCCGCCCGTCTGCAGTGTTAACATCAAATATATAAAAAGCATATCGACATTTATGCTCCACCAGGTAATCAACCATTCTATCATAAGCTGGATTCTCTCTATTTTTGTACTTTTCCAGAGTGGCACTTTCTCCAAGAGGAGGGCATAAATCTAGAACAACTTTATCTTTGTCTGGTTTCATTACTAAGAAATCATGAGTTGGTTTATTACAGTTTGATTTAAATTGATTAAAAACTTCACAACATTCAGGATGAATTGTAAATCCAGATGAAGTCATATTGATGCTACAAATAACAGAAAAAAAGCATTTAATTAACTTTTACTCATTTTACAAAATAAAAAACTATTATATAAACATGTAAATTTATCAAACTAAAGTATACAATCTACTAAATTTAACTTTTAAAAACTAAATTTGTATAAACTAAATATAAAATTATATATAATTATAATTTAAAAATCTGTTTTACTGTTTATCGTATGTTACAAAACTATTTGCAAAAAACAGTGTTAGATACTGGAGATACTGATATACAGGAGACTGTTTTAAAGTAATAATTTTAAATGTTTCTTTTTGCTTATTTTAATTTCACTCATTATTTTGATATTTTCTGTTACAACTGTTTCTTTCTGACTAAGCCAAAAAGCAAATGTATCTATTTTATCTTGAGCTTATCAACAATAAATACACCAATTTCCAATTAAATATATGGAATAAACTTGTCAAATATATGCCTTTTCAAAAAAAAAAATATATATTATCTGAAGCTATGAGATTTAAGCCACTGACATAACAGATAATTAAATTAGTTGCTTGTATAGATAACAAAGTTAACTATACAAGTGAAGCTATACAATAACTGCTTTATAATGATATCAATAAGTACTTCAAGATATTATGGTCCAATTTAGTATTAGGATTGATTTCTTATTCATAATTAAGTGTTGGCAAAAATAAAATTATTTAAAATATTTTCTGCTAAATGAATTCATAAACAGATATTTCTAAAAATGTTTGTTTATAAAATTTAATTCAATAATCAAACCATAACACATGTGGTGCCATGAACTCACAAGTTTGAGAAAGCTTAAACCTAAAGAATATGCCACCTGAGTATTACAGTAACATTTTAATGACGAGTCTTATAAAAATAAAGCTTTCACCAACATAAAGTTGAGTTACAAACATAAAAAACTCATTATATTAGAATAAAAATTATTTTTTAAATTTCAGGTTCACCATTGGTGATTTATAAAATACAACAAACTTTTACTTATAAGTAAGTTTACAAAGTTATTAAGTTTAAAAAATCTCACCACTAAAAAACTCATTCTTGCAAAGTATCAGTTTTTTTTTAATATCTTAAAACAAATCCATTTTAATGCTCGTTTTTTTTAGTTCAAATTTAATAACTCTACAGTAAGAATTCTGTAATTATGAAAACCCATTGAAATTAAAAATAAAAGCAAATAGCTGTTTTAACACTTTATAAAGTTTTGTTTTATTTGGCTCAAGACTAAATAAACATATCAATAGTCGTTGAATTTATGAAAAATGTTTAGCATTTGTAAATATGATCACTAACCACATTTTAATACCTTAATATAGTAAAATAATAAGATTATAACTGTAAATATCAATTAGTGTCATTTGAAAATTCAATAGGATTAAAAATAAACTAAATTACATACGGAAACGTCAGAATTGAATTAATTACTTACGGCAACTGCAGATGTTCGTGTGTAAATAATACCTACAATTATTAAATAAACTACTATTTAAATGGTACTTTTTGTAGATAATGCAAGATCATATATATTTTTTTAATATATCGGAAACCTGTTCTCGAAAGAAAAGGACAGTGGTCTTAGATCTCGATGTCGACCCAAAGCGTCTCCGATCAATGCATTAGGGCGGAAGAATACATTAGATTTCAATTGTAAACCGTATTGCCCATAACTACATAAATGAGCTAAAATAACGATTTTTTAATCAAAGAATTTTCGTTTTATTGTCGAGCATTCTAACTTAGTTGTTCTTTGAACCCAATTGGTTTTTATTATTTCCAAAAATGGTAATGTTTGCAACATCAAAGTTTGACTTTTTTTTGCGCGTTTTGATAAGTTTCACCTAATTTTTCATTTTTTGAATTTAATAAGAAAAATGAAGATTAAATGCTTTCTTTTTTTTTCTTAAATATACTATATATATTATATACTACAATAAACTATAATATACTATAATATGCATTATATATAAATGCAAAACTCTTTTTTAGTTCAAAATTACTTATGCCAAAACCAAAAACATTATTAATCAATCAATATGTATGTATTTAGTAAATATATGTTACAAGTTTAGGATGTTTACATATTGTTCATGTATTAATCTAAATAAACACCAAATTAAAAATTATATCAATGTATTTTTTAATTAAAAAAATCCTGTTTTTATAAGAATTTTTAATTGTTTAAGAATTTAATTATTTATTGAAAAATAGCAAATGAGCCTAAAAGCTACTTATACTGCTATATACTAGCTCATAGTAGTAATAGTAATAGTAATACAAATTGCTGTAACGACGATTGTCGCGGAGTATAAAGTTTAAAATTTATACTTTAACAGCCGTTAACAAATGTTTATCTAGTCTAGCTTTAAAAGAATTTACTGTCATTGCAGAAACCACTTTTTCAGGTAAAGCATTCCAATGAGGTATCACTCTGTTCGTAAAAAAATTATGTCTCGGTGTTGTTTTTGCAAATTCTCTTTCAAATTTCATTGGATGACCTCGAAGTCTCTGGGAAGAAGCTTTATTAGGCTCTTTATACCATAATATCTTATCAATCCCAGTTGTTAATTTAAAGAAAGCAATGAGATCTCCTCTTATACGTCTTGTTTCCAGAGTTGTGAGGCCCAACTTTGTCAATCTTTCGGTATAACTTAGATGTTTTAGTTCAGGGGCTAGCTTTGTTGCTCGCCTTTGAATTTTTTCTAGGTCATTGATATTGTTTTTATTACTTGGACTCCACACTGGAGCTGCGAATTCCAAGTGTGGTCTAACCAACGATGTGTATAGTTGCCTTACCATTTCAGTGTTAAGATAAGTAAAGCTTTTTCTTATTAAACATAAGATTCTTTGTGCTTTACTTGTAGCTACTTGAACCTGATGATTCCATTTCATATTGGATGAAACTATTACACCCAAGTCTAGTTCTTTTGTTGTTGTTTTTAGAAAAAAACTTTGATTGTCGTGCTTTATAGTGTAGTTATAGTTAATATTTTTTCTTCCAATGTGCATAACACTGCATTTATTTATGTTAAAGTCCATTAGTAATATAGTCCATATAGTAATTAGTCCAATAGTGTCACAAAATGTAAATTATTTTGAACATTCCGCCCAAGAAATATCTTTTGGGGTATGGTAGGCATAGACGGTCTCACTAGTATTAATACAACTAATACAAAATCACACTATTATGCCCGAGGAAAATCAAATTTTTTAAATTTAATTTTAAAGATTCCATTGTGCTTTTACATTTTTTTGTTAGTATTTCTGAACATAACATGTTTTGTTTTGTTTTGATTTTTTTTTTTCAATTTAATAAAACACACTCAAAATTTGCTTGGAAATAGTAACAGTACAGTTTTGACCTCTAAATGTTAACTTAGCCTAGTTTGTTCTCTCAAAATGCCAAATAAAGCAAAAAATTATGATGAATGCAGATAATCTGCATAAATTCTGCGCTCACAAAAATACCAACAGGATGATGACTTATTTATGAATATTTAAGCAAAAAAAATTATGAATATTTAAGCAAACTTAATTAAAGCTTTAAGAAGTATGTACCCAAGAATTTTGCAAAGAAAAAAATAAAATAATAATTTATTAACATTTCTTTTGAATTTTTTTTATAAGAAGTTCTATCGTTGGCTTTTTTGGCTGTTAATGGCTTTATGAATAGAAAGAACGATTAAAAGAGGACAAGAGTTCTAAATACCGGCGTGAAATAATGATCAAATGGCTAAATTTTGAAAAACGTGTAGAAGGTAAAATTATAATCGACCAAATATGCCAACAAAAAGCAGGTCGTGAAGGCCCCTATATTCACTTCCCCTCCCCCATAATTGGGGTGTGTGGGGTAGCCTAGTTACAGCTCTGACCACAAAGCATGATAAATATTTTAGATAAATATTGTCTTATACTCCACTTTTTATCTAAATAATATTTTTTAGTAACGCATATAAAATTTGATCTTTTAGTACACTTTTAATGAGCTGTTAAATACCACATCTAAATCAAAAGCATTTTTACAGTCTACTTATTTGTAGTAGTACCATTACTAACATGCTCTACTATATCTAACTCCAATCTTAATAAAAATCGAATTTAAAAGATTAAATTCTTAATTAGCATAACATAGCATCATTAGGCAATGCAAATTTGATTGAAAAAGTATTTTTTTAAATCTATTTTTAACGATGAAAAAAAAAAGGGCGTGCGCTCAAGTTCATAAGTGCTAAACTGGCAAAACATGCATCAACTTTCAAAACTATTTTTTACCGAACTGAACATTCTGAGGCAAAATGAAACAACTATACTCATGTCAAATTAAAAAGATTAGATTGAAATATGTTTAAAGTAGTTTTACTACAAAAAAGAAAAAGTTTTTAATGACTTATTTAAAATTTTAAAAGAATTTAAAAGTGTGATGAAACTTTACTCTTAAATTTTTTACATTTTAAATTTATGTAATCATTTTCAATGATTACATAAATTTAAAATGGTGTTTTTTTGTTCTTCTACTATATTTGTTATATACTTTGACGGTGTGTTTTTAACAGGACGTTTGTAGAAAGCACTCGACTGATAAACTTACCTTAATGTATAAACATTTATAGTAATCAATAAAATACCTATAAACATTACCCGCACTTTTATTTGCTTTTATTATCACCAGGAAGAGCATCTAAATGCGCGTAATAAAAATGTTAAAAACAAAATTTTTGATTTGTTTAGTAAAAACTAATGTATATCAATTTATTTTTACAAGTTATAGTTGTTGTTATCATAGAAATATAACGAAAGAAAATTTGTTAATCAGAGTAATTTCAAATTTGCCACCCTGAACTGAACACCCTGAACTGGAAAAAAAACAACCTAGAAGAAACAGTAAAAATCAAATGAAGTTATTTTATTAAAACATCTAATTTTTATATTTTATAGATATTCTGATAAGTTAGAAGTATTACCAGCAAGATATTTGTATTATAAAATTTTTAAAAGCGTATATTAGGTCAAGCTGTTTTTCTTGATTCATTGCACAACATTTGATTTAAAAGAATATTCTTATTATATAATTCCCTTATTTCTCTTATTCCTCAAAACTTTAGACGTAAATATATATATATATATATATATATATATATATATATATATATATATATATATATATATATATATATATATATATATACTTTAGACGTAAATATATATATATATATATATATATATATATATATATATATATATATATATATATATATATATATATATATATGTATGTATATAAATTTGTTGTTTATATATATATAAATGGGGTGTTCATTTTTCATCAATTTTGCTTTTTTAACATGTATGCAGGCTTAAAAGATGGGCAATTACAAGTTGTTTCAAAATATATTTTTTATTTTTCAAACTATGCCACTTTTCCTTTAGACCCTTGAATAGAACATTTTCAGGCCCACTTGTTTGTTCAATAGTTACACCCATCCAAATATGTTTAAAAATTATTTCTAAAACATGATGTCTGCATGCAAGCATCAGCATAGGTTTCGCAATATCTTTTCTTAGCCTGAATGATTTATAAATATAAAAAGTTAACATTTCTTTATAATTAACTTCAAATTTTAAATTGCAAATTTGAATGAGCATCTAGTTTACGTTTAGTATTTGTAATAAAAGTACTTGTATATTGAACGACGAATCATTCCAGTATTGCTTGCAGTAGTATCAAAGCAAACAGATCTTACATGATTTGCAACATCAAACTCTGTCAGAATGCTTTTGAACTGATTAAGCCCTGTTCCAGATGTAACTCCTGGAGTTCCAAGCAGATGATTAATCCCCCCCCCCCAGCTCTCAAAACAATGCAAATTCGGTCAACTGGTTTATCTTTGTGAGCTGGTAGTAAGTCCTAGAAATGTTTTTTTATTAAGAATTAAAAGATTAATAATTTAAAAAAATTATTATATACATCAACTTTATCTATTTATTGTCATTATATTTAGTAACCTTGATCAGCTTTCCACCAAAATGCAATTGAACAATTTTATTATGATTAATCTCATTTTAAAAGATGGTCTAGTCACCATTAAATTGCTTTAATTTACATGTGATATTTATTGCATACTTGTGTTAAAAACAACTTTAACTTTAATATTTAAATTTGAATATAAATGGAGAGAAAGCATATTGAATTATAAATAAGCTGAAACGAGTTATTGAAAATTAGTTATTTTCAATACCTTGTTTTAGCTTATTATGTTTCAGCAAAACTATAGTTATTTTAAATAACTATTTTTTTTATTTTAACCTTTCAAATAATAATTTGCAGATATTAAACAAAATATTACTCTCTTTTTTTCAAAAAAATATTCTTTCAAAACCATTAAGATTAACTAAAACGTTTAATAACATTAATAACGTTTAATAATATTAATTCTTTTAAATACTGTGTGTATATTTTTTAAATATATTATCTACTATAACTAATATTCTAATTAGTTTATTGAATTATATTTTATAGGATTAAAATTTAGTTTTTTTTTAATTTGATACATATTTAATTTGTCCTGAAAAGTCAAGAAAATCATATGGATTGTATCTTACATTTATATACATATATTTAGGGCCGTCTAAAA